TTGTCATTTTTTTACGGACCAATATTCTATGCGAATTATTCGCACGGGCCAACTAGTGTTTTTCTATTTCATTAAAAACATCAACACTATCAGTCCACTAGTTTCGGAGGGAAAAAAAACATTTATTGAATTTTCGGTTTCCACGCAACAAAACAAAATAAATTACTTCTATATAATAAATCAGTAATAAGACAAATCTTAACATACTCCAGTCTCATATGGAGCTTCGCTAATACAACATGAAGAAACTACAAGTATTCCAAATAATATGCCTGAGAGTTATCAACGAATATCCCTGTTATACCAAAATATCTAAAATGCACTCCGAATTTAATATGCCCTACGTACAAGAATGCATTTACAAACCTTAATAGTTATATCCAATAGTTTATATAATTTAATAAATTTTATTCGTAATGCAATGCGTATGTTTATATATATATATATATATATATATATATATATATATATATATATATATATATATATATAATGTATGTATATAGACTATTGTATAATTTTCTAATTTCTAGTACAAGATAAACAACCGAAGTAATTGTAAATATTGTAGTTGTGAAAATATAAAATCATATAAAAAAAAATTGGTATAAATATTTAATTATATGCAATTTTTAAAAAAAGAAACATGAGATCCAGTCCTAAATTTTAATAATGAAATTATCCCACCTTATACATTTTAACCCCTAAGCATCACTACTAAACATTTATTTCTGGTGGGGATACTAATATTTTTTCTTGTGTGTTTAAACATTAAATTTGTTTAAATGAGAAGTTCGTTGGTGTTTGCAGTCAATAAGAAACACAAATAAATTATTTTTTGGGCTACGTTTCGGCCCTAGTTTCAGGCCTCCATCAATGCTGAGGAAAGACATGATAACCACCAAACAATTATTAAACAAATATTGTCAAAAGACATGTGAATGATATGATAAGGATATATGCAAATAAATACATTTTTAAAAATGAATAAAAAAATAAAATATATGAGGTTCGTAGATAATGGTAATGTATGAAAATTTAAGTAAAATAAAATCTAATGATAAATTGTAAAAATTTAATATAGCAGGATAATTTTCGCTTCCTGAAATTTATTTATTAGCCGATAACATATATTTTGCTCTCATATATGCACAATAGTCGTTTAATATTTTTTTTTATGTTATCTTGTTTTTCTTCAGCTCTGATAAGGATAGCCCAAAACATCGGTAAATATTTTTTTTATTTTAAATTGTGTTTGTGTTTCTCACTGACTGTAAACTCCAATTAACTTCTTAACCATATTACAACACAGTAGACTATTTCTTCAACATTATTATTATTTTATTTTTTTTTATTAACTGTTGATAATAAGCAAATGTAAGGGAATAATATAACTTGAGGTCTGGGGAATGACTGTATACAGCACCACTCTGAATTTAAATAATTAAGAAATGATAAACTTTGGTGGACTTTGGTGACTGGACACTGATAGTATGCGCAGTGGGACGAATCGGGAAGCCCGGATTATTTATCCAATTAAATTATTTCTTAGAACTTGACACATGCCCGTTACTCGTTATAGTATTAACTACTCCCATATGTAGATAGAAACTTTTTTTATATATTTTAATATTTAATTTACACTCATAAAGTGGATCTTTATTTATTATAATTTATTTTCGTTATTTTTCCGTAGTTGAAGACATCTGAGTGATGATGCATTGTAACATGTTTTCGAAAACTGTTTATACCCCTCTTCAAATTAAGTGATATGCGAAGAGCTCTGGATCAAATACGTTTATTCTTCCGGTTTCGTTCTCAATAGTGATTTGGATACGGGTAAATAACGTGGACAAAATTCATTTTTAAATAAATAAAGAAAAAGTAAATTTTATTCTGCGACTTCTAGTCTCCTGATAATAATCAAAATGTAAGATTCCTGTTATACATGTCTGGTATAAAACGGTGATTGTTAAATTACTAAATTACAATAAAAGGCTAATATAAGTAAATAATGAAATTACAGATTGATAAATGTTTAGATATTTGCGTACTTTTGAGTGGTTAAACTAAAGTTCTTTTTAAAAAAAATTATAAATTATCTCTAAGAGTGTAACGCGGATATTTGGGATCCCCGTCTGATTGTATATAGGTGTGACTGTTTTTATGTTTTTACTTTACTTGTATTTAGGTTATTTTATTTTATTTTTTATTATATATAGTTTTTATTTATTATTATTTAGTTATTATTTTACTTTTGTTATTTTTTTTTTGTATATACGGTGTGAATGTGTTCATTTATCAATATAATTAATTATTGTCCCTGTGACAGAATATTATGTGTCTAAATAAATTATAATAAAAAAAAAAAAAAATTCATGATTTTTTTTTATCATACACCATTTTGAAAACTTCCTCGTTTAATAAGCTTTAAGTCTATATTAATTAATTTGAGGTTTGTTAGAAAAAAGAGTTGAGATTCACCCTGAAGTTGATTTTATTTTACGTGAAAGTACCTCTGTTTTAACCATAAATGAATATAGAATAAATTATTGCAAATTTTCTATTTATTTTTTTCTCGACTGTTAATACCAGACTATATATTTACTGAGGTTCTCGAGATCCAGCCATTGGACAACTAAACATTAATCCAACAATTCCTCTTATATATTTTTGTACTAATTAACATTATTAATTTTTTCTTATAAATAAATTGTTTAATATATTTAAAATTTTATTTTGGAGTTGTATATTGAAGCTAATACTACACGTAATATCCTTGTATAATTTGTAATGTGTTCTGATAAATATGTATATATATAGAATATACTGTCAATGCAACCAATTATGTCATACAAGTTGGCAACCGGCCACGTGGGAGACCTGAATCTATGGATAGACAAAATAAATAAAGATATTATAGAACTGTATATATATATATATATATATATATATATATATATATATATATATATATATATATATATATATATATATATATGCACATTAATGAAACTTAAAATATGATTTAGAGAAATCAAAAGCAAATACTAATTACATTTAAAAAAACAATAGTTTTCGATATTTATTTTTGCATCCACTTATTCTTTTCTGTCACTTTTTTTTTTCTATGGTCATATTTTGTTATTGTTTTGTTTTTTAATATTTTTTGTAAATTAATTTACAGCATATTACAGTTATATAATATATAAAATACAATGAAAAATTAAATTAACAGTTCAGGAAAAAATAACTCAAGATCAAGATATTTCCCAATAAGAAAATTTAACTAGTAAAATAAAAATTGAATTAAAAAGATAATAGATAACATATGACAGAAGGATAAAAATAAAGTATTTATATTCTAATTTTTATTTTAATATTTAAATTCTCTTACAGGAAAATTTCTTGATCTTGAGTTATTTTGTTGTTTTTGTGCTAAAGTGTTTGTTTTGAGAAGTACTTTATGATTGATATATTAGTACTCATATTACTTCCATTTTGATAATTTTTTTTATTTTTTTGTCACGCCACTTATTTTTGAAACTTAGGATTAATTTAAACTTTAAAATGTATATATATATATATATATATATACACATGATCAAAATGGAAGTAATATGAATATAAAGTAATATTTCAATCATAAAGTAGATCTCCAAACAAACATTTTAGTACAAAAACAACAAAATAACTCAAGATCAAGAAATTTTCCTGTAAGAGAATTTAAATATTAAAATAAAAATTAGAATATAAATACTTTATTTTCATCCTTCTGCCATATGTTATCTATTATCTTTTTAATAGAATTTTTATTTTACTAGTTAAATTTTCTTATAGGGAAATATCTTCAAGTAGTAAAAAAAAAATTGAATTCAAAACATGATAGATAACATATCGCATAAGGATGAATATAAAAAATAATAAATAAATATACATTTTAGAAGGGAAATTAATAAGAGGTTTCAAAAGCAAGTACCGCAAAAAAAAAAAAAAAATGCAAAATGGAAGGAATATTGGTAGTAATACTTCATTCATAAAGCATATCTCCAAATAAACATTTATTTTAGTGTAATCATTTGATCAAGTCAGTAACTGATTGTATGTTAGGTTAGAATGTCTGATGGCGGCCTTAAAATTATTTCAGAGCTTAATATCAATATCCACTCCACTTAAACTTAAATATATCTTACATTAATAATTAATTTATTATTATTTACAGATTTATTAACAATATTCTGGATGAGTTCTATAAGGATTCCCTTTCAGGTACCTCAATGATGGATCCATTCCATATGGTACGGATAGGTGTCCTAACACAATATCTTTATCTATGAATTAAAAAATATTTGTTATTTTTCGTTGTTTGTAATATCGATATATTGCAAAGAAGAAAAAGATAATATTTTGAAGCAGCACTCTAAATTAGCAAATTCTTTATGGAAATGGATATTGAAATACCGTTGAAGGATTGTGTATATTATCTTATATTATATTAGATTGTGTATCTTCAGACCCTTAAGAAAAGGGTTGAGGGCTTGATAATTTTATTGGCTTGATTAATCCTATACTTTATGGAAAATCTATTTAGCAAAAAACGAAGTAGGTCGGGGGGAGAAAAAAAAGAAGAGAAAAAGGGCGAAACGCGTGGCGACATACAGAACTAAACCGGTAATTTATTCAAGTAAATCTTATCCAATGAAATATATTTCATAATAAACTTTTAGGTCAATAATTATACTATTTTAATTATAGTGTAACTTTTTCTTTATTAAAATAAGAGAGCAGATTTTTTTTTTTTTTTTTATGTCGTTATCTTCCTTAATGATTATTAATGTCATATCTTATATAATGTAATATTTTTTATCTGTACAATATTAAAATCTCATTTGTGTAAAGTTGCATACAAACATACAATAAATGAAATTTATTTCGATCATGGCACGGATTCATGGTAAGTAATTAATTAGAATTAATGGGAGTAATGAAATAATAATTACCGGAAGGTACGAAGACCCTGTCGTCTGATTCGGAGTTGTGTTGTACTTCTAAAGAGCGAAGGCTGTCCAGATCTAGGTAGTCTAGGCTGCCGACACCACTCTCTTCAGACCATCCCCTCTGGACCCGGACGACTCCTCCCGAAGACCCCGCCGAAGTACAGGAGTACACTCCACCTGACATGACATCGTCCAACCGTCCCGCCTCGTAGGGCAGCCCTTCGTCAAACTGTTCTGGGCACATGACGGCATCGCCATGAGATTACGACTGACGCATCCGAAGCCGAACCTCCGCACTTCCAGGAATCTCCCTCCCGTGGGAGCCCCCCACCTCGGTACAGTCGCCCTTAGTACCGGCTCCTGGGCATACAGTCAGTTCTGTATTCCACCATCCTCACCTGGACACTTGGCCGGCGATGTACCTCTGGAAGAATCGTGGTGTTCCGGGCGGAGATGGGAGATTGCACCAACCCCTGCAACACTTCAACAGAACGAGCGGTCTTCCTAGAAGCTTCCGTGATGTAAGTTCGCTAACGTCGTGCTATCTCAGAACGAGTAACGCTAAGATTTATTTTTAGGGTATTGATCTAAAACTGCTGGATACTGTGGCATGCTCATAATTTATTATAAATAATTAGTAAATACCGATCAATAAAATACGTTAGATATACTTTGTTTAGAGGATGTCCTCAAGTAAACTGAAATATTTAAAGGGATGCTAGCATACTTCAAGAGCTACAAACAAATTTATATGATCCATGGTTCATTGTTCCGCAGAAAGCTGTAAATTAAAGTTTTTGTTTTTTTTTTTTGTGAAAGAAGTTTTTTTTTATTTATTTATTCAGAAATATTACATTCTGTCACAATTAAGGACATTTATAGTAGTGTTCAGAGAGCACACTCAAACTCTATTTACAATAAATAATAGAGAAACTAATACTAATAAAATTAAATGTATATAAACAAAAGAACTAAACTAATCAAAAAACGAATATTTAATAGTTGACCGTTGCATTATAAAGGAAGGAGATGGTCCTGGGTGGCGGTCATAAATAGGCTAAATAGTGGCAAAACTATTTTATTCTAAGTGAAACTCCTAGCTGAACACACCTGTATTCTTACATTTTATTTACTTACTTATTTAATTTTTGATTTTTTGTTTTCTTTTCTTTCTCCACATTCCTTTATGTTTATTATTTCATATTATATCCTTTTTCGTTTTCTTTCAATCTCTCCTGTAGATCTGTAGAAGTATATTCACATTTGCATTTATTATATATTACACTACAGCAATTGTTAGCATCTATTTACTTTAGTATAGGATCTTGTTACTTAGCTTACTTTGTTCATATTTTAATGTACTTACTGTTTATATTTTAAATAATATTTTATTTACATTGTTTATAAATTTTGTCTAAATATTATGTAACTGCCACAATTCTCTATCGTTTTGTATCTTGTCCGTTCTAGCCATGAAGAAGACCTGCAAAGTCGGGTCGAAACGTCGGCTTTCAATAAAATAGTTTTGCCACTATTTAGCCTATTTATGACCGCCACCCCGGACCATCTCCTTCCTTCCTTTAATCAAAATAACATTTTTGTTAATCAAAGCATCACTTTTTTTGGGTATTGGAAGCGATAAAAAAACTAATATTTAATTAAAATAACTAAAAATTGCTTCAAAGTAAACTTGACAAATTTTTTTCTAATGCAAGTTGAGCTTGTATTTATTAAAAGGATTTAAAGGGGACTTTTAAGCGGATAAACTCAGCTAAGATCAGTTTTTAAAAAAATTATATATTATTTGAAATTTTTTTTGTCACCCTCCAATTATATTATAGATACTCCATTTTTAGAAAAACTTCCTCGTTTAATAAGCTTTTAGCGTATATTAATTAAGTTGAAGACACATTTAGAGATTCGCCTTAAGATATGTAAAAAAATCTGGCGCGGTGCGCGCATCACACAACTTTCACTTACCACCCCCTTTTTAGCAGAAATAAATATTTTTCAGACAAAGGATAAGTGAAAGTAAAAATTATAGACGCTGTAATTATATATACAAATTTTAATATTTATATCGGTGTAATTAAATATTAAATAATACCAACAATAGCATTTATGAAAACCGCGTATGTATATTTATATAATATTGTCCCATATTATATTAAGCTCATGTTACGGATGGAAGCCTGTTATAATCTTTCTGGCGAGCTCGAGTGCGATCAATTACAATCATTCTCCGTTACGATTTTTTATTTTACCTTTAATTAATTATCAGAGTCTTTCATATTTTATATTTAACTATCTTTTATATTAGAGATTAATGTGAAATAATCAATTAATTCAAATTAAAAAAATTAAAGGTACTTTAGAGGAAGCTAATATTGAAAATTAGCCATTTAAGCCCTGTTAGAGAACATCAATCAGAATAAAAACTACATTTTATTTAAAACTTCTTAATTTTACACTGATATAATGAATTAAATCAAAATCGTTTGAGCCATTTCCGAGAAAATTGTAAAAATGTGTTTAGCCCATGATATAAAGTGCCACTTCCGATCAGTTGATTTTGACGAAAAAGTTTCTGTAACATCCCTATCAGATAAAAAATCTTAAATATGCAATTTCACTTTCGTACGACTTTTCGTTTTTGAGCTAGACTGTTAACACACACACACGCAGACCATTTTGCGGGACTTGGTTATTTGGACTCAGGGGACTTCAAAACGTGTATTTCCGTTGAAAACTGAAATTCAAAAATTTTCACGAGTAAAAATTATGTGACCATCTTCTGCCACTCCAGGTTTCCAATGTTTTCATAAAAAATAACTGCAGTAAATTATTAAGAAGTTCTTATTTCCTTATTTTGTGTGACCTATGAGGTATTACTATCAAATTTTATTTAAAAAGAAATATTGATTTTTCAAAAGGTCTATCTTCTAAAGTGATAGTGAACCATTTTTTTTTTTTTTTAAGCAAATAACTATTTTACAAAAATCAAGATAAATCTCAACTTATTCGGTAACAAACTTCAACTTAATTAATATGGTCTCGAAACTTATCAAACAAGGAAGTTTTTACTAATATGTGAGATAAAAACTATTGTCTAGTGGGAGGGTGATAAAAAAAAAAAAAAAAATACGAACATTCTACTATTTTAAGAAACACAAAACTTACAAGTCCCCTTTAAGTGGTTTAAACAAAAATAAATACTATTTAGATTTGAATTAAATTTTATCATGTTTTTACTGAGCTTCCAAACCTAAAAGTCCCAGGTTCGAATCCCGGCTCATGGCAGAAAATTTATTTATGTTTCATTGGCCGTGGGGCGATCCTGAGTCGGGAGACCCTCGTGGGGCACACCCAGCCTTTATAAAGTGGGTACCCTTAATTAAAAAATTGATTAAGGGAGGAAACCTGGCGGTTGAGCATGATATCGAGTCACCTCCTTGCACAACCGTTGACCTAGAAACAGTGCTTTCCCTAAATAGTACTGTACCCCCCAGTACCCCAGATCCTTCATGGGTTGTAGTGGTACAGGTTTTTAAATTTTTTTTTTATCTGGTTTACTATGAAGCAAATGTTCATTAATTTAATTAAGTATTTTTTTTAATATTTAAAACGTCACAAAATTTTAATTTCTGGCTTTTCTGTGGCAAATCGTCAATATATACTTTTTTATACCTCTCGAGATCAACTATTACTCCTTTAAATATTTCCCTTTTCTTATGAGACACCTTGTATAAGTACTTATGTATTTATACATATGTAGTCTGTGATACAGACCCCTTTTTATCAAATTATTAACATCCGGCTGAAACTTCGTGAATGGCTTCATCTCATCGTATGCTTCAAATATTTTACTAGCGAAAATTCTATTAATTGGAGAGTTTTCAATCTTGAGATCGACATACTTTGTCTATTTAATTAAAAAAAAAAAAAAAGCAACCCATGGAGGGTCTTGGATTCAGTACTATTTAGGGAATGTACTGTTTTCAGGCCAACGGTTATGCAAGGAGCAGATCGGGCCAGGATCACGCTCAACCTCCAATCATTTTCCCCCTCAATAAATTATTTAATTAAAGGCACCCACTTTGTAGTGGCTGGGTATGTCCCAGGAGGGTCTCGCTATCCCAGGGTCGCCCCACGGCCAATGAAACAGAATAAATAATTTTTCTGCCATGAGTCGGGAATCGAACCCGGGACCTCCAGCATTGGAAGCTTAGTACCCTACCTCTGAGCTTCCCCACTCCCTTTGTCTATTTAATTAGGAACTAAAAACTCATAAATAGCTATTTAATTTCTACTTGATTCGTAAGATAATAATAACATTACGAAATAAAAAAAAAAGGCCCTTGGGGCCGTTTCGGCTATATAACCTCGTTATTTTGACATTTTGGGAGTGGAGGTTACGTCAAATGGCTCAATTTTTTTGTAGGCCACCTTTTTGTCTAATTTTGCTATGATAATATCTTACGATCCAAGTGGAAAGCAAATGGTCATGTACGAGTTTTTATAATTTTCGCAAATAAAATATTTGTAGGTTGCGATGAGATAAGGTATTTACGAAGTTTCAAGCGGATGTTAATAGTTTGATAAAAAGAGATCTGAATCACGGGCTATCAGCTACTTTACCTAAAAGACGACAATATCACTACAGTATAGGTGTAAAAATATTCATATTTTTTATTACAAATCATATCTCTAATAATCATTAAATAATTTCACATTCTTTGTCTTCGAAGTTCATTCTAGTGTCACTAATTTTTTAATAAAATATTTAAGTCTAAAACATTAGTTTAAAATAAATATATATAATCAAATGAAAACAAAGGTAGAGAGATCGCTGGTATACTTTCTGTATACTTTCTGTCACACTCGGCTTGTTTCGACATTCAGAGAATAGTGTGATCTTGGCGCCACAGTCGACGATACGTGACTATAATATATTATAATTAATATTTCTTTGAATGGGCGTCCCATTTATATTGTTAATAATCACCGAGCGTTTCGGTCTTTTCAGGGTGCTGCTTAGGATCCAGGTCTCGTAGCCATAATTGAGAAGTGGCTTAGCGTTGTGCACCCTTAATTTGAGATTTATTGGGATTTTAATACCTTTGACAAAGAGGAGAAATCTCTGTTAGCGCTTGTTATATGCTGATCGATTGTCGACCGTTGGTATTTTAATGAGATTATTGGAAGGGAGGAAGAGATATTTGAGTTTATCTATTTTCACGAAAGATTTTTTCTTCTATTCAGATCCTGTTGTTGGGGTTGGATTTTCGGCTTATTATCAGATATTTTGCTTTATCCTCATTTATTTGTAGGCCGATTCGTTGAACT